ACATAGTGTCTCAGTTTTGATACAATACCACATTGTTTTCCAAGTCTTGATATAACAAATTCAATGTGATTAACGAAAGAAAGAAAACTTACAATCAGCAAAAACAGCCAAAGACTTGCAAACAGCTTTAAAATTTATATTACTAGCGTTTCATATAAAAATTGAAGAAAAAAAAAACACAAGTAGCCCATAGAAGTCAACATATGAGAAAATAACCTTTCTAGACTTAAATTTTGTGTTTATGATCAAAACATGCAGAGGAATTGAATAAAAGGTAACAGTTTTACGTTAAGCAATTTATTTTTTCAATTTACCAGAATATTGAGCTTTGAAAACGAAATGAAACCTTTTTATCTATCCCGCCCCCTATGGTACCTAGTAAAGAATAATCATACCAATTATGAAATCAAACATTAGTTAAATATATGCCTATTTTGTGCCTATTCAACTATTTCCCCCTTTTTTGCAATAGGGGGTGGAGATATTTAAAGAGAACGCGAAAACAATAAAAAAAAAGATAGATTACTTTTATTTTCTTATCCGCTTTCTTGTGTTATTTTCTACTATCGGCTAATTTTCACTCAGTATTAACCCTCAATTTTTACGGATGGCGAGATTAAACGTTTAATTGAAAATAAGAGGAAACTGTTTCATGTTTCTTTTTGAAAGCAAATGAAAGTTTTTGAAGCTGCGTAACTAGATGAGTGTTTTTGAATGTGTTTTTTTTAAGTGTAAAAAAGCCACTAGGTTGTAGATTTATTCGCCTACAAGAAAAAGCTCATTTGAAACATAAATTGCTTTTCTGTCAGCAAAGTTTTCCGACGACATTTTACCAACTGGCAGTTGAGCAGATTAAATTTTAGAGTCAACTTTAATGCATTTGGAATGCAAACTTTGTAGAATTTTCACGAAGCAATGCAAATCTTGTAAAATCTATTACAATTCTTGCACCATTTGTAATTTCAATTCAGGCTTAAAACTTTTCCTTGTTGCAATTAATTTCTATACATGGTCAATTCTCCGTTCTTGTTTTAATGCAGATCGGTAAAATAAGATAGTGACTAGCAATTTTGACTCAACTCCCAGAGGTTCTGGGTTGAATTCCGCTGCGATTTGTTTTTGTTTGAGACAGCAAAAAAAATTGCCACCTGCTGTACCACAGTTTCTTGTTTTAAAGTTTTACATTTTGCCAATCGTTATCTTGTTTGAAATAGTATTAATTCAGCTTTAATCATTTGTCGCTTTTTCAGCTGTTAATGCCATCGATGATTGTTTATAACTCGGAAAAAATTCCTAGTTGTAGTGAAAAGCAAGGCTGAAAATTTTTATAGTCAAGAATTCCAACCATTGAATCACTCTTGTTTGACAATTCAGATTTACTGGTTAAAACCATATTGTATATACTAGCCTCATCTCAGAGTACCGGTATCTTGAGAAAAGTACAAATGGTTCAACCTGCGCTTTGCATTACAAAATAAGGATATGAAACATTTTATAAACTGATTGAACAAAACTCAAGGCATAAAATGTTATCAAATTATTGTCGCAAAACATAGTTTTATCAAAATGTTATCATAGTGTTATCATGTAAAATTTTATCAAAGTAGTGTCACAAAATTAATTAACTGCAGTCTCAGTGTTCTCGGACTGCAAGTCTTGTAGAAATCTTGCCAGCAAACACGAAAATTTTTTCTAGGAAGATTTGCATTTAATGTTCGAGAATTTTTACAAAATTTGCGTTCCAAAATTCTTGCAAGATATGCTCCTTGCCTTGAACAAGTCAAAATTTGCCTTCTACTTGAAAGTTAATTTAAATTTTTTTGGTACATTCAGTGCTTTTTAGAGTTTCCACTAGTCTAGCCGTAACTTACCAAAATCTCACAGCGGATATTTATGGGTTAAGTTAACTCTAATGCAAGGATAACATAGAAAATTTGCATCAATTGATGCACAAACAGCGTTTTGAAAATTTGGTTCATTTCTTAAAAATCATTAAGCTAGATATGATGGGGTTATAGTTTGAAAAAATGAATAGAATGAGAACATTTTAACCAATATATAATCTTAGTATGAAAATTTATTGTCAAAAAAGCAATGCCAGAGAAAAAACTAGATAATTGCCCTAAATACGTAAATAATCATCAGTGAACATTTCTGCGTGATCAAGGGAAATCAGTCATCGCAAGAATCGTACAAGATTGTAGCTAAATTTTCATTCCCTTAATAACAATTTAGAAGTTTCAGTGATGATTTATATGTAGTTGATTTACGCATTCGCCAACTATCTGGGATTGCTTATTTCTGATTTTTTGAAAAAGAAATAAATTTTTATATTAAGAATAACAAGCGGTGAAAAAATTCTAATGACTTACTAATTTTTTTGATAACTCTAATCTACCAATTTTGGAAAAGTTTATAGAAATGATTTATAAATCTTTCAGACCATTGTAATGGCATGGATTCATCCAATTTTGGTATGTTTTCTGTGCCCTAGGGTAAGATAATCCAGCTGAGGCAAAAATATGTCAAATTCGAATTTTGCAAGAATCTTGTAACGCAAATCATAAAAACCTTAAAACGAATGCAAAATTTGCAAGAAAAAAATCAAGAATACTGTAATTGCTGGCAAAGTATCCTACAAGTTTTGCACTCAGAGATAACCGAAACTACAGTTAGTTATATTCAGTAACGACAACATTTTATATTTCTTAACAATTTTTTTCCGAATCATATAACATATCGATGGCATTAAAACTGAAAAAACTTTAACAAGATAAAATGGCCAAAAAAATTTCGCTTCGAGCAACAACTGATCAACAGCCGAGATGATAATAACATTTAAAAAACCACCGACACGCAGAATGCAAAACTTTAAAACAAGCGATATTTATTTCTATACATTACGATAGGTTGTACAAAAACGTATCCCAGCCGTAATCAACCCAACCTCTTGGAATTGTATCAAAACAGTTATCAAATGAATAACTTTATTTTAATTTGTCTCCAATCAACTCAAAATTTTAATACAAAGCACGATTCAACTCACAATTCTAATACAAGTCACAAATACATGAATAGAAAGGATAAAAACTTTGAAAGTCAATCATTTTCTGCCCAATTCAGAATGATTCCTAAAGTGGATGCAACACTCGGCAGCCATCTTTTTTTGCTCGACTTAATTAAATCAGTTGCAAACACCGAACAAACAGGTTTGAATCATGCTGAGATTAATTAAACATATAACTTGTATTTGCGAGCAATTTAGTGCTTTCCTGTAAATTTGTTTTCTTTTTTTCTTAGAAATCTTTCAGAAAACTAGCTTTCTAAAATAAAACCCCAAAATTAATTAAAATGAGTGGCGAAATAAATTCTGCATTTCACCGAAAAATCTATGGTTCAATTAGTCTTATCATTACTTTTATAAACTTTCAGTCAAAACACAAGCGCCGATACCTGAGTGGGTGAAAACTATCATAGCTCATATATCCTAAAAATTCTTTGAATTTCCAGAATCTTTTGTAACTGACATTTTATTTTGACATAACTAACCGGAGGCCAAACTAGGATTTTCTGAAGGGTGAATCAAGTTTCAAAAAATCATAGGTCTGTATTTTAGATCGCCCTACTTTTTTCCGTTTTCAGATCTCTCCTAGAGCATAATAAAGCCCCTATTTTATCAAAAAAAAACTGCCACGCTGCCGTTTGGAGCCCTTTGTATGTTTTTCACCAACCATTTATGTTTTTTTTCCGCCCGCGCATGTATTGGGCGTGGAGCACCGCGAAAAAAACCGCTGATTATCTTACCTTAGGTAAGATAATCCAGCAATTTCCACTGAACCGAAAAAAGGCAAATCTTGCTTTTTGTTGCACGATTGAAATTCTGCAAGAATCTTGGAAAGCAAATCATGTAAGAATCTCGCACGTTGAACGCAAAACTTGCTAAAAAAATCAAGAATACTGTAGTTGCTGGTAAGATATCCTACAAGTTTTGCACTCAGAGAACATTAAAACTAAAGTTTGCATTATTCGGTAACCAAGTTAGAGGACGCCTGGAGGCGGATAACACGCCTCCAGAAGCTCAGCAATCTCGCGAAATAAGTGGCAAAAAAATTCTTCATTTCTCCGAAAAATGTATAACTCAATTAGTCCCATCACTAGTTACATGAAATTTCAAATAACACACGAAGGCCAATACCTCAGTGGGTGAAAAACTAGCATATCTCAGATAACCTCAACTTTCTTTGAATTTCAAGAATCTTTTGTAACTTACACTTTATTTTGACATAACTAATCAGAGGCCAAAATAAGATTTTCTGGAGGGCGAGTCAAGTTTCATAATTTGATAGGTCTCCTTTAAATCGCTCCAAACTGTTTCCGTTTTCCGATCTCTCCTAGAGCATTATAAAGCCGCTATTTTGTCCAAAAAATGTGTCACGATGTCGTTTCGAGTATTTAGCACATTTTTTTCCCCAAGTTATTTCGCGTTTTGGCGCGCGCATACATTGGGCGTTAAGAACCTCGAAAAAAAACGCTGGATTATCCAACCTTAGTGTGAGATAATCCTGCAATCTTCGCTGAGGCAAAAATAGGCATCTGGCAGTTTTTTTTTGAATAAAATAGGGGCTTTATAGTGCTCTAGGAGAGATTGGAAAATGGAAAAAAAATAGAGCGATCTAAAAGACAGACCTGTCAAAAAAGTTTCGAAACTTGACTCACCCTCCAGAAAATCCTATTTTGGCCTCTGGTTAGCTATGTCAAAAAAATGTCAGTTACAAAAGATTGTTGAAATTTAAAGAACGTTAAGGTTATCTTAGCTATGATAGTTGAGATAACCAAACCGCGAAAGCTATCGAACCGGGAAAAAGTAAACTTGAGCCTGAACAATCATGGCGACCTATTCTTTCAATTCTTTCATTGGCAGCTAATAAAAAAATACTGGAAGTGGACTACTATTGAATCGAATTGGAATCACGCCGATTGATTTAGAGATTTTAAACTAAATTTATAATTGAATAACCACCCTAACTCTCCGCGACTATTTTCGCTGTTTTCGAGCTTCCATCGAAAACTTTTTCATAATGGATTTTGTAATTCCTACAAATTTCAAATTTCATAAATATTTTCTAAACACTCAGCAATCAGTTTGACTTGCAGTAAAGTGACTCTGATATTTCTTGCAGTAGAGTTCTTTCTAAGCTGTTCCAATAAGCATAACAAGAGTTGATTGCGACCTGAAACGAGTTCACCTCTCTGTATTTCACTGCCAACATTATAGACTGAATTGTGAAGAAAATTTCAGCGTTCAATTCTGCGATTGGGTTTGTGAAATGTACAGCTTCAAAAACGTCCCATAATTTCTGCTGGGGCTCGTACATTTTAGTGAGAGCATCTTGTGTCACAATTGAGAGCAGGACAAGTTGCAGTTTGCATCGCCCTAGAGTTGACCTATAGGGCTCCAAGGTGGTATCTGAAACAAAATTATCAGCAAATAAAAACTCGTTCCTGAATACCACAGTACAATTTGAAATAAATCACACTCAAAATTATGACATTCAGAATCGCAACCAACTACCCGTTAAAATCGGCTGTGATAAGCAAAATATCCCAAAATTCTGTCCAATCAAAGCCTAGTTGCGAAAAAATCACCACAGCGTTCGCTGCTTCAGATGATTATAATGACACTACCCTTATTTTGTACATGCCCGCCTATGTTTCGGCAAGAGTCTTCATCCTCGCGAGTTCTGAAAAGGCAGTTGTCGCGGACGGGGGTTGGTTGCGGTCCAGCGAATCGCTCTGCGAATTTCCAAATCCAGAAGACACCTCGGAGTTAACCAAAAAACCAAACTGTACCAAACGAACCTGTTCTAGAGTGTAGGTAGTGCATGTAGGCAATGAGGGTGTTGAGGGCTTCCAGATGGTCCTTGGAGAGCACCAGACACAGAATCAGACCCTCCATGCCTGTCATGAAGGCAGACGGGAAGCTCTGGTTGATCTCATTGCCACGCTACACCAAACAAAATTTGAGGCTTTTAAATGTACAAATCGACTCGAGCATTGTGGCCAAAAATTCGGAATAAAAAAACTACCAAATCCCAAGTTAAACGATGTTATTTTCCGAAATAAACATTGAGTTTCCTCTTTTCAAAACAGTCTTTTAGAAAATGACGTCGCCGTTAATTAATCAGGTAGACAATGAAAAACACGAAGGTTGTACGCAAAGTAGAGGCAGAATGGTTAAGAAAAAACTGTAAAAACAGCGACATATTGCATGTTTTTCAAAACATTTCAAAATATTATAAAATGGTTATATTATTTTGAAATATAACCATATGATTGAACCTCATACCAGATGATTGACACATTTGCAAAAAAGGCAAAATGGAACATTTTTGACGCCGTAGTACTAGCATATATATTTTTTAAAAATTATAAATTATTGCAATGAGAAAGAATCATAAGTTAAAAAAACTTGTAAGAGAAGGCGCGGTTGCTTTCTTCTGAAAGAAAGTTGAATGCAAAGACAACATGAAAAACTTCATAACAATTCCAAAAATTGTAAATAAAAAATATGAAAAATTTGAAAAGAATATCAAAAAAATCTGCTTAATTTCTTGGAACGCAATTACTTGCACACAAACAGAAACCATTTAAAGGACTTTCAATGAAAATAAAATTGTTCAAAAAATAAGAAAATTCCGTGACGTGGCAACTAAGCCGACAAAAATGAGCAGACAAACAGAATTCCGGCAAAAAATGGGTCACGCTGAAATTTTCCCGTTCCAATAGAACCACAGACTTTTGCCTTAAAATGCACAGGCCATTTTGTTTAAATGATTAAGTGAAACTACAGCAATGATTTAAATTAAACGAACAAAACATGAATTTTCAAACGCGTTTTTCTCAAATTGGGTTAAGATAAGACAAAAAAATGAGGAGAACAAAATTTGCTTAGAATCTCACCCAAAATTTTACCCTAAAATTCGTCGTTTTGGTGTTTTTAATTAATCAAGAACTGCGCTGAAACCACTTTGTTAATTGATGAGAAATAGATGTCACAAGAAACCTTTTACACAGCCCAAGAAAGTTCTAGAAGAGTTAAATCTCCAAAAAATTGCACTTTAGTTTAAAATTTGTTTTTAAGCAAAGATTTTGGGTTTTATATAGTAAAAATCAAATCTCTTGACTATCAAGCAGAAAAATTTTCTCTTATATAGGTTTTTGGGAGATTTAACCCTTCTATCATCAACCCTTTCTCATCAATTTAACCTTTTCTCATCAATTAACAAAGTAGTTTCACCGCAATTCTTGATTAATTAATAACACCAAAATGACCCATTTTTGGGGTAAAATTGTGGTTGAGAATTTCGGAAAAACAATTAAATCATATTAATTCTGGTAAAATTCTAAGCCACTTTTGTTCTCATTACTTGTTGTCTAATCTTGACCCAATTTGAGACAAACGCGTTGGAAAATTCAAGTTTTGTTCGTTTTGTCCGGATAATTTAAATCGGCTCTGTCATTGTAAACCTATTCCGTAGTCTATACCTTGTAGTCTATATTCCCATTTGAAAACGCTTGCTAAGCGCAATACAAGAGGCGAAGCTGCGCAGAGGCTAGCTCCCGAATAGAAAATGAAAGAAAATTGGAAACTAAATTTTTGAAACATTGAAAAATTAAATTTCAGTTAAAACAGTCGAGAACCAAAACTACCAGCTAGAAATAAGCTTTTAGCAGTTATCGAGCGGCCATTCAGCAAAAAAAAAACAAGCGTAAACGCTCATGCTCATTGAACCGAAAACAAAAAAACTCCCATAAAAATTGTGGTCATAAAAAAAATTTAGCGATTACATTTCAAAACTTTGAACTTTTACACCAGAAAGTAGAAAAACATGCTGAAAAAAAACCTGACCGGGACCCAAACTCCACATCGTAGAGAGCAAAGACAACCACGTTACCTGTTTACCAAGTGACAAAGAGTCTGGAAGTTGATAAGGTTCCATAATAAAGCAAGTTCAATTTCTTACAGATTGGTTAGGAAAGTTCAATTTGGTTGACGTAAAGAAGGTCAACAATTTTTTTAAATTCAGACATTCATGTTTTTGGCATCTCCAAAACATATCTGCTCTTTAAATAAGAACAAGCTGATTTTTGCGAAACTTTGCTAGACGCATAGTTTTTGTGTCTTTTTTACTAATTCAGCCCTATCACATCCTAAATTTCGATAACAAAACAGAAAAACTCGTCTGCCAGTAGTTGAAAATATATACGCTACCAACACATGTGTAAATGAGACTAGCCTGGAAGAAGATGACTGCCTCATCTGGCTTTTTGGCCCAAGTGAGTTTGTTGCCAATCTTCAGCAGCAGGACTCCAGCAGCCGACGTCTGACCTTGCTCAATGTAGATCTTCACAAATTCAAAAACATCATAGTCCATTGGTGATGTTGAGATAAGCACAAACACGAAATTGAGATTGGAAGTATTTTCTCAGACAATTTAATATAATTTAATCAAGAGAACCTATATATCTATTATCTATCTTTTATATATTCAAATGGGGGCTTCACTATATCGCCATGTTTAAGCTTTTTCAACATATTATTTAAACATGTTAACCGAAAATTTTTCCACGTTTAAGCTATATAGTATATTGATATACTGACGTTTTTTTTTTGTTTTCCAGTTTGAATTCAGTGTTTATTTAAACAAGTTTGAAATTCAAAACCCAATGGTGAGATGCGGTCGGGGTTACCCCAGGAGCAGGCAAATTTGGCCTCCAATTATGACACAAGCGAAGCTGTGCTTCGCAAAAACTAACGAGAACACGACAAAAAAGCAGCTTTATAATGTGAAAAGAACTAAGTAGAAGTAAGACTTGAAAAAGTAAAAATTCGGCTATGTCTCGCATTCGATCTGCGACCTAGAGATTATGAGTCTCCCGGACGAAACACTCAGCCACGGACGCTTAATAAATAACAAACACTAGCCAAAAATAAAGCACAGAACAGATGCTATGAAATTTCCAATACTACAGATCGTGATTATGCCAAATAAGTTAACACTTTTAAATGAATACTTTTATTTAGTAGTAATAGCCTACGCCCGCAAGTCTTAATACCCAAATCCTTTTACTTTACAAGATATATATTAAAAATTTTAGAAACCTTCAACAAAATCAAACTCTCAGCCCTGTATTGGATGCTGCGAGGATATTCTCAGGGGTTGCAAATCTTCCGTCCAAATTCGACATTTCAGATGCTCTTATTTCCGAAACGTAGCATTTTTTGTGATTTTTCCAAAATATTTCTTAGATATACAAAAATTGAAACTCCCAGCCATGTAGTTGGCTCCTGTTAGGATCATCTCAGGAGTTGCACTTCTCTCGTCAAATGCGACTCGTCAAATGCTTTGAGTTTCCGAGATTTGACTTGTTCAAAAGCTCTTTCCGGCTTGTTCAAAAGTTTTCAAAACTGAGATTTACAGCTTTACAAAATTGGAATTTCATGGTGCTTTCGTTGTAGTCTTAGGGGTTGCAAACTTTTCCTCCGGATGCGACTGCTGAAAGAAACCATAGTTTCAAGAAATGACTTTTCCGAGTACTTTTTTTAAAAATTCATCAACCTTTAATCATGAACCCTACAATGGGGTAATCTCACGTTTGACAGCTCATTTATTTTAGTTTCCGAGATATGCTACTTTTTAAGATGTTTCAAAACTTTTCAAAAAAGTTAATCTTAGAAAATTTTGCAAAACTTCGAAATGTTTATTATTATATTGGATTGATGTCAAGGTACTCTCTGAAACTTTATATCTGGACTCCAAATATGACTGCTCAATCATTTCAATCTCCTAGATATGACGTTTTTATGATTTTTCGAAAACTTTCAGAAGTGTTTTATTTCAAAAAACAAATCAAAATTTTAAATTGTCGACGCATGAGTGGGGTGAAGTCAGGTTACTACCAGCAGTTTCAGAAGTGGCCTCCATATTACTATTATTTCTCAAATTTTTGAAGTTCAAAAATGACGCTTTTTATGATATTTCAAAAAATATTATTTAACTAGAAAAAATTCCGATGTTTTTTAAATTAATTACATTAGATTTATATGTTGATAGCAGCAAATGATATACTTACGGGCTAATGAAACGAAATATCTGAGTCAAAAAAGTCTGATTCATGACTTCAGTGATTTTGGCAAAAAAAATGTTAGCAATGAAATTGAGATTGCGCAAATAAAATCATTTCAACTTTTGTTTTGAATAAGTGCAGTTGTATGCTGTCGGCCATTTCAGGGTTTTGTTTCTCAATTCAAAAAACGAAGATCTGAAACCCAGTAATTTTGATAATTTGACTATTTCAGTTTAAAAACAACCTTTAAGTTAAAATTTTGAAATCAAAAGCGTTGTTGCATGCCCGTCTATTGTTACGGTTGATTCCTTTCATAGTTTTTTATGTATTTTATATATAACCATTGTTCACGTTTATTAATATGTTTGAATCACCGGAGGTGCGTTACACGCAAAATTAGAATAATCAAGACAATTCAAAGCGTCTTATCAGCCCCCGCAGGCATGACAATTTAAATTCATTTTTTTCTAGTGCTGTAAATCACTATTTCGTGTTCAGAAATCAATTAATTCATGCGATGAAAAAACCATTAGCAACCGAATCTAAAAACTTCAGCATAACCAACAGACAGTTGGAAAGGAGTGAATTTTGAGTTTCACAGACAAAGAGATGACCTTCAAGCTCTTCGAACTTCTAGAGCAATTTATGTTTGACACAAAGGCTAAGTTGCACTTCGCAAGCAAGCGAGGAATATGATAAAAAGGCTCTAAGAAAGCAAAAGAAAGTGAAACGAAGAAAAAAAAACACCTTTAAAAAATTTTCTGTAGAGACTAGGAGTATCACTTTCTCACATCTGCTTGTGATTTGACTAAAATCACCAACAGACAATGTTGAAAAAGAGTCCACGAGTTCAAGTAAACAAAAAAAAAACGGAATTCTTGTTTTTAAAAACTGCAACTTTCGAATTGCCGAGAAGAAAAACAGAAGTCCCCAAAGCTCTTTGAATTTCTAGAACAGTTTATGATCGACATTTTTTGTTTAAATTAATTCAAATTGAAAAAAAAAGTAGATCAAAAAGTTCAATCACAATTTTGTGACTTTCACACACTCGCTATTCGATAGTGGAGCTTGCGTTTCTTTTGATAGAGGAAAGGAACTGAACTGTATAAAAAATCAAGAGTCAAACCGAGAAAAATTAAGTTTGAGCCTGAACAAAATTAAAGACTTCTCCTGAAAACAAAAATTGAAAAAAAAACATTGGGACCTAGAAACTCACTACGTTCATCGACTCTTAAACACTCGCCACCAATAAAGCAGCTATAGTTACTATCAAATTGTCAATTCTATGCAGCAAACACTCGGAGAAATAGAAAAAGAAAACTATTTCAATGTTCCGAATCTGAATCTCTGAACTGTAGATTGGGAATCAAACGTCCTAGTATTTGCGCCATGGTCGCTTGAAAATTAACTAGTGGCCCAACTAATGCTGGATCCAGAAATGTATAATTTCAAAAAATTCGACTTTACGCAGAACCATATTGATTTCTCTGCTTATGTAAGGGATTAGCCGCTTTTTTAGAAGCTTACTACTGATAGCTCTGTCAATTTTAAATTCTTCATCTCAGATTTAGATGCATAGTTTTCAAAAAAGTGAAAAAATTTCTAAAACAAAACGATCAAAAATCAAATGTTTTCAAAATTAAAATCCTTAAATTTGACTTTACTTGTCTCTAAAAAAGCAGGTTATAAAGATTGCAAGAAAGCAAGAAAGATTGTCACAACCGGCTTTTTTTTCGATTGAACGCTTAATATCAGATTTAGCTAGTTCTTGAATGGTAGATTTCGAGAATAGGAGAGGAAGAATTTTTTAAAAAACGGTTCAAAAAGACTTTTCCGAAGTCCATATCAGCTTTCTATCAAAAATAGGTTGAAAGTTTATATAAAAACCTTGTTGATTTGATTGAATTAACCATCAACCTCAGAATCAGCAGGTTAATTTTTGACAAAATTGAAAAATTTTCTATGGCCATAAACTCTTCTCAAAAGGTAGAACATAGCTGCTTGCGCAGAAAAGATTCACATAACCAGGTTTTTTTACGGTTAAACCCTCATCTCAGTTGTGGCAGGGCAATTGTTGGGGACAGCAAAAAATTTTCAAAAATTAACCAAATTGTCAAAAAATAGCCTTTTTTGAGGCCATAACTTTTTCTACCGAAATTAGCGAAAGGCCGCATATGAAGGGAAGATTCCAATGATGTAGCCATTTGATTGAAACCGTAATCTCAAATTTGTGCAATTAATATCAGACAAAATGATTAAATTCACAAATAGATCAGAAATACCCCTACTGAATATTTAGAAGGACGAAAAACGTGGAGATATATGAAGAGACGAGCAAAATATGCAGGCACAAAGGAGAGTAGCCAGTTCCTGCATAGGTACCACGTTTGTGAAAGTACTGAAACTTCTGCGAAAAGTGCTAACATTGTCCAAAAAATTCGCAAAACAAATCACTTACACAGAGGCGAAGCTACGCTTCGTAAACACTAGCGAGAACACGCCAAAAAAGCAGCTCTATATAGTGCAAGAGGAAAAAGTAGCAAAAAGCCACAAATTAGTAAGAATTCGGCTACGTATCGCATTCGAACCTACGACCTAGAGAATATGAGTCTCACGCACTAACCACCACTCAGTCACTGACACTTAATTAATAACAAACACTAGCCAGAAATAAAGCAGAGAACACATGCTATGCAATGTCCAATGCTACAGTGAAAATTCCACATGAGTGAACTTCTTCAGTGTAAACTTTTATTTGCGAGTTAGGTTAGAAAAAAAAGAAGAACGAATTAACGCTCACAAGCTGGCTAGTGCGAAAATTCCGAACATTTTCATAGTCCCAAACATTTTTCAAACGGGAACTAACACTAGCCAAAAATACAGTAGCAACATATGCTACTAAATTGCCTATAAATAAATAGGCTCAAATATGATTAATTGAAATATACATAAGAACCACCAAATGAGCACTTTTATTTGCGACTGGGGCTAGGAAAAAAATTTTCTTCGTTCTAATAAACTAGGCTTCGCATGTATAATAAAATTAACCCCTTCTTGAGAACAAATGATTAGAAGACATTTTTTTCCGCTGAGAAATCTGAAAAGTAAAATTAACTTCCAAAACTAGATTTTTCGTGATCTTTACACTTTTGCTGTTCGATAACGGAGATCGCGGAACAGTCGAACCGCGAAATATCAAATTTGAACATGAAGACTTCATAAAAAAAACCATCAAGACCTATAAAAGAGTCTTCACTACGTTCACTAACTCTTAAAACATAGGTCTTTTAATTAAAGCAAAATAAAAAAACATAACCAACAGACAGTTGGAAAAGAGTCAATGAACGCAAGTAAACAAAAAAAAAACTGACTTGTTTTTTGAAACAAATCTCAACTTTCGAATTTCAAAGAAAAAATAGATGCTCTCTGAAACTCTAGAATAATTTATGATTGACAGTTTTTTGATAATATTAAAGCCGTTTAAGAATAAATTTTTTAAATTTCGCTGAGAAATCTGAAACTTAAATTCCACAAACGAAACTAGAAGTCGATCACGTTTATCTGGAAACGTGATCGACGACATTTTTGATGTTCGATGGCATATTTTTTCTTCCAATTAACAAAGGAAATGAACTGAATTGAAAAAAAAATTAAGTCAAACTATAAAAAAAAAAATAAATTTGATCCTGAACAAATTTAAAGACTGAAAAAAAATCATCACGACCCATATAAGAGTCTGAATTACGCTCATCGTCTCATAAAAAACTATCCACTGGTATAATCTATTGTTCATTTTACTACCTTGACAGCAGCCGAGTATGCCTGGAGTGCAGCTGATAGATGTTCCTCGTAGTTCAGCTCCCCGCTGTCAAGATGGGCCCGCATGAAGTACTCTGCCGCATCTGTGTATGCCTTGGCCTCCTGAAGTCCATTGCCCATCGACTGCTCACACCTTGGTTGGAAAATTATTGACAACTTTTCATCTCTGCTTCACTTTCACAGACAGTTTTTCCAAACAAATGTTTGAAAACGGATTTTAAAAGAAAAATTCTACCTTTTTTGAGTTCTATGAACAAATTAAACAAAGGCGAAGCGGAGCTTCGAACGACTTGCGATACAACGCAAGCGTAGCACTGCAAGACAGCTAATAGAAATTCAGATAAAAATCATTAAATCGAAAAAATATTCGATAAAAAAAGAAGTTATTATGACAAAACGAAAAAATCAATTCCAGGAAAACAGCCGAGAAACACAACTACCAGCATTAAATAATCAAGAAAACATTTAATAAGTTACTATCATTTAGCGAGCAGTCGCGAAACCGACAATTCTTGGAAAGACGAAAACATAAGAAAAAACAAAAATGTGCCGAAAACAAATGAAAAAAAATCCATAAATCGTAGAGCTTTAAAAGTTAAAATTTGTACACCACAACCGCCACGAAAATTTTTTTAGAACACAAATTAAAAATTTCCTTTGAAATGACATAAACTAAATTTAATAAGCCGATAAAACATGAGCCGAAACCAATTATATAAAAAAATATTCAGAACCATATTTGGTAAATTGACGAAATAGTAGGAAGACTGTCAATATAAGTGAGAATAGTTTAACTCAGAAAAAACACTTTAAATTTAAAAATCAGGCCTACAAAAAAGCAAGAAAAAGAAAGTCCCACAATTCAAGTTTTCCCGAACAAAAATCACCTTCGCGCATCCTGAAAAAATGAATGTCCTTGAATAGAGCATCAGTACTTCGGGTGCAAAGGCAACCGTGCCACCTCTAGACTAAAAGCGAAGGAGCCTGCGAAGAAGTTTCTATAAAAAATCAACATCCCTTTTTTACAGATTAAAATGATCAAACTAAACGAAATTGAACCGAGAAAAAATCAGAACAAGCCCATAAATACGAAAACAAACTGCAATTTTTCTCAATTGGTTTTCAATCAAAAATTTTTTTAAAAAGTCATATGAAAAAATTTGCCATAATATTGCAGTTATATGACCTTTTTATATCGGCACTTAATCGATTTGGAAACAGCACGTTTCTAACAGATTTGTAAGAAAGTTGTTTAGTTTACAAAGGATCCAAAAACGCCACCCTGATGTTGGAGATCCGACTGCTGGCTTGCCAGGATGAGAATGGCGTCAACATAATCCTCCTATGGACCGATAAAAAGCTCAGAAATCTCCGAATTTTTGGTTACGGAGCGTTTGAAGCCGGTCAGTCTACTCTGTCTGCTTATCCTTTTATTATTTTATAACTCCGGTAGACATTCCAACAACTTCCAGAAAAATTTCCAATATTCAACCTCCACATCAATACCTTTTCAGTCTACGCGATCTTAGAAAAATTACTTAGAAAACAAAGTCGGAATCCTTCTCTTGGACCCATTTGTTCTATTATCCGCAAATACAGAGTTAAGTAATATGATGGTTTACTAATTGCAATTAATAAATTACTATATTACGATGAGTTGAATATTACTTGTAAGGGAACAAAGGAGGCTTTGTGTATCTCAGTGGTAGCCAGTGCGTCTAAACTACATATTTGTCATTTTACATTCCCAGACCCAGGTGTCCCCAATCACTCCGCATCAATTGCTGATCAGCTAGAACATGGGGACGCTCTTATACTAGTGGATGCTAACACACGCTCAAACCTATGAAACTCCTATGATGAAGTAAATCAGCGCGGTCAGGTTTTTCTCTGACGACATTACCGCGTCCACTTTTGCGCCCCTAAAAGATGAAAACCAAACTAAAAAACCTTTTCACGCTGAAAATTAACCAACCTCTCGCAATATTTTACTGGCGTTTACTCTCCGCATCATGGTACCCTAATAAATCACTAGAATCTGACAATTTCCACACTTATTGAACGTCCACTGAATAAACAGGCAAATTTGACATTCATTTCTTCGAGCCTGCTTGAAAGGCTTCACTGATATTGACTCGGGCCTCTAAGACGAAGCACCACCTTTAACAATCGCCGCAGGCCAGAAAATTCTCCGGGACCTAGTCCTCAGGTCAGCACGCCGCCTTATACCCGCTGGCCGTTTCATCCACACAATTTCTTCTTTGTGAAGAACCTTTCAGCCTTGCGTCAGAAAGTCATTCTAGCCGTCAATTTAGCCAGCCCTTAGACCGCGACCAAGCAATCCTTCTGAGTAGAAATGGCGCCAAGTGATGAGCTCCCTCAAGTGATGTGCTCCTTCAACGGTTCCAGGACTGGTAAGCACTAAAGAAAATCAGCTCTCCGGTAACTAGAGCCAAAATTTTAACAAAAATTTTACCAACGCAAGCACCCACACTTCGGACAATCTAATTCATACAACGAGACGCAAAATTGCCAAACTCTCTCCCTCAGGTGGCCCTACTTTCCCCCACGACAGACAAAACAAGCCACGTCGGAGTGTCAACCTTCACAAGCACCTGATCCTGATGCGCTATGCAATATCCAGATAAACCTTCCGGTCATCTAACCTTGTGCTACTTAACTTTTTTAAATTACTCGCTGTCTGAGAACATTATCTTTGAAATGTGAAAACTCAAAATTCACACCTTTGCCCAAACCAGATAAAGGCTTATGGCTATCAACATCATACAGACCTATATCAAATCTTTGCCCAGCGATTGAAATTTTAGAGAGGCTCACCCATCCAAATTTTACTAATCATCTTCCAAATGCCAAGCATCCACTTGATATCCGCTCATTTCACTTTATAAACACTGCCCTGTTAACCGTTGAATTATACGTCACAGAAAGTTTCAACCAGAATACCCATTACGCACTGTTACTGCAAAGTTTATGCTTTGAAAATTTATCCTCCCGCAGAGTTCCCCTGGTTCGGTACTGTTACCCAATTGTTTTTTCATTTTACGCCTATGACGTCTCACCTGACCTCACCTCCAAGATCTCTGATATCGAGAGATCATCGAACTTCTCAAGCGGCTACCTGAAACATCTGTACTTTTTTTTAACTACGAGGAAAAAAATTTCGCGTCCACTAAAGAATCACTAAACTTGTTTTCGCCGTACAACAAAGAGTTTAAAAAAAACAGCAAGTAAAATCTTATAAAAACGAGCCTCTGCCACTAAGTCAAAATCCCAAATTTTAGTTGTTACTTTTGAGACGACCTTCAGTTTGCCCCTTACTGCAAATAATATGGTGACAAGGCCAGGCACAGGATAGGAGTCGTGAAAGCCTTAGCAGGTTCAAACCAAAAAGAAGTATACTAAATTACGCATTCCCTGCAGAGTCCCACGATGCCAGTAATAACAAACAAATCACCTCCGGGCTACCGAAATCAAGAACTCCAAGTTATTACTATTTCAATTTCATGCACAGTGAAAGTGAGAGAATTATTGTCAAAAACAGCAAACTTCTCAAATTTTCATCTCCACCTGCCGTTCCAATCAGTCGAGCAGTTTCATCCACCTTCACATCTTTCCCTCGTTAACAACGTCATTCTATTCTGAATCTTGTTGATTTTAAAAACCGAGACGAAGTCTCCTACATATTAAAAACTTTGAAACTATTTAAAAACTTCAGCACACAAAGCAAGCAAGCAAATTCCTTCCTAAAACTCCTGGTTTTTAGATTATTCAAATCACTCTTGTCGACCCCTCAGATCAAAATCTCTCCAGATCAATCCACTGTAGGCTCTCCCAAGTCGGCTTTTAAACACTTACATTTCCCGACCATACAGCTCCCTTCCCACCTCTAAGACGAATCTATTCCCTTGTACCCTACACTACTAGCCACCTATTCAACTGTCCCCATAGCCCCTCCTATTTACCCCTGCAGACCCGTGGCTTCGGCCGGTAGATGCCGCAAGTTTATAGACCTGAAGACGGACAATCCAAACCCTACCCCAGGCTAATAACAACAAAAATCTTTACAGGAAAAGAAGTGAAGTTTCCGATAAAAAGACACTTGCTCCCACGAATTGCATCACCTTAAAGCTTTTTAATCTCAAATTTTATTGAACAAGTGATGCTTCATTTGATAAAACCAGCCTCATTTGAAAAAACTGGATCGAAATATGGTAACTTTTTGCAATTTGCTACGAAATCTTCAGAAACTTATCTTCTATATTCGGCGAAAATCATTTTAAAGGGTTTTTTGAATATCAGAAGACTTCCCAAAGCTACCTGAGTTTCAATCTGTACAATTATTTGATGAAAACTAAAAACTGAGTTTGCAATGGACCCAAAAGAACGTTGTTTTAAATTTTAACGCTCTATAAATGTAACAATTTTCATTTGCAAAAAAGTAGATTACTTGAAACGTGAATGAAATAAACCATAAACCTGTGGCACGTGATCAATGTAAAATTGCAGAGGCAGAGCCTTTTTGATCTGTTCTGTTTATTAAATCATTGCTAACTCGAACCTGACCTCCGGTGCTTCGAATTTTCAACAATTCAAAAAACTATTTTTTAAGTGTACTCTGATAGCACCCAATTAAAGGATTCGTAATTAAAAATTTTACAAAGTTTTTATTCAAGTTTTTTCTACAAATTTTGAAGAACAATAAAATTTTGTGAAGTTTTATTAAAGTTCTTCAAAAAAATTAAAATGAACTAAGAAACGTCACATCTGGGAAACTGAAATCAAAATAGCAGTCGCATTTAGAAGCAAGATTTGCAACTCCTGAGAGTAAATAAAAATTTTGTAAAATTTTTCATTCGAATTTTTAATTCAATTTCGAAAAACCATAAAATTTTGTGAATTTTTTTTATCTAAGTTTATAATGAATTAAGAAACGTCACATCTGAGAAGCTGAAAGCAATTGAGCAGTCGCATTTGGACGCAAAATTGGCAACTCCTCAGAGTACTCTTACAGTACCCAACTACAACGTTGAAAAATTCAAACTTTGAGAAGCTACACCTTAAGTTTTCTAAAAGAGATATTTTTTTGAAAACCAGAAAAACTTCATATCTCGA